TACCCCTGCGGAGCTGCGCGCGTTGGCCTGCTAACCTCAAGGTCAGCAGTTGGGAGAAGGATGGGCTTTCGACTCCCTTAAAGAGTTACCATCTCAGAAACGGGGGCAGAGCCAACCCCTGGACCTACCTCTTCCCCCCTCCCCCCACCCCTTAGCAGCAGGCCCGCCCTCTCACCCTGCCTTCCACAAACCCACTTGCTCCAGCTCTCAGCTTCTCCTTGCTGGGGCTTTGGACCGCTTTGACCTCAGGCTCCTTTTCCATCTTGCGCTTCACGTCCACACCCCGCTCAGCTGCTGCCGCGTCCTGCGGGCAGGTAGAAGTCCTCGGGCACCCAAGCCCTGGGGTAGGGGTGGGGGCGCTGGAGACACCCACCCTCCTTGGCCAGTTTTATCCTTGACTTGGGGGCGGGTTCAGGAACCCAGATACTTACCGGAGGCCGGCTGCTGAGGTCTGATACCCAGGGCGTCGCTGTCGGTGGGAAGGGGGCGGGGGTGGAGGGGGCAGAGGTAAAGTCAAACTGGTGGAGACCCCTGAGCTAATCCCATTCTCACTGCCCTGCCCCAGGTAAGAAAGCAAAGAAGCCCAGATACAGGCTGCCTCGCCCTGAGGCACACAAAACCTGGGGTTTGTTCTCAGGGCTCCTTACAGGAAGGTCCAGAGTGAGCCACCTGGCTCAGTCCTGGGCAACATAATCCCAGCGAGTACCTCGAGCCTTGTCCTCCCTGGCCTGACCTGAGTAGGGGTCAGCCCGTGCAGAGAGGTCCTCCCCAACCTGGCAGCTGCCCAGGCCACCATCCAGGTCCTCCACGGCCTTGGTTGTCATGGCAATATCCCGAGATTCAGCATCAGGCTAGGGGAGGTTGGGAAGGGAGAGACTAGCTGTGGGCCTGCCTGACCCTGGAGGGAGCTATATGTGCACACACACATAGCCACCCCTTCCTCTCCCACCCCCCAACTTCTGTGGCCCCTCCCCCATCTTGAAGCCCTTTCCTCTGGCTTAGCCCCTGGAGCTGGGAGCTGCAGTATCTCCAGGGCACCAGGGGCAGCTGAGGGCTAGAACTCACACCAAGATGTAGAGCCCCAAGCAAGACACAGCTCAGCCTTGGGACCCACTGGCCTCCTCACAGGCCTGTGCTCTCTGAGTCCAGGGACTATTTTTATCTGGTGGCTCAGGCCAGCGGACAGGCCACTGGACGGCCCAGCCCCTCCCTCCCAGCTCTCAGCGCCCACAGAGGCTCCCTCAGGACCACCCTGTCCCTCCCATCCTAGCTCCCAACCCCCACTGCACCCCTTGAGTCTCCTTGAGATGGAGCCTCAACAGCGGGGACCAACCTCACCTGGGCCCTAAGGGACTGAGGATACCCTGGGAGCCTGGGTCCCCTCCCCTCCCCCCTCCCCTGCCCCCTTGTGGCCTCTGATCCCATTTGGCAGACAAGGATCTTGAAGTTGGAGATGAGGGTTTGAAGTGAGATCCATCTCTTCTGCACCCCAAGGCCCTGCTTTTGGGGTCCCTCTTGCCTCCAGCTGCCACCATGAGTGGCTGCCCATGCCTAGCTGGGCACAGAGACCCTGTCTCCCTGGGACCCCAAGACCAGGGAGGAGAAGGGGCCCCATGGGGAAGGAACGCCAGAGATGTGCCCCCCAGATTGGGGGCAGCCACAGAATTAGGAACATGTGCACCTTGGGGACCCCCTCCCCGTCTCCAGAGACCACCCCCCACTTCATCTCAGCCCTACTCACCAGGAGCTGCACTGTGCTGGTGGTGGACAGGCTAGCGCTTAGGGAGGTGGCCCCTTGACAGACAGGGACAGGTGGCCGGAGGGGGCTAGGTGGACCAATCAGCACCAGCCACCGAGGACTGGGAAGGAGGGGCTACTGGGGCATCCCCTGTGTCTGGAGGGCCAAGCAGCAGCTGCTGCCCAGGAGGTAACACATCACACCCCTCAGCCTCTGAAAAGGTGGGGACCAACACAAGCGGTCACTTTACCTAGTGCTCTGGGATCTGGTCAGTAGATTCCAGAGACACTCCCTGTATCCTGGTCTTTGTAGCAGCACAGACTCCCTGTCCCCAGGGAAGGAGAAAAGACCCAGTCTGTGGCCTGTGTTAGTTTGGGTTGAGGAGAGAAACAAGCTTGTAGACACTCATGTGTATAAGAAAGAGCTTTATAGACAAGAGCGATTGAGCTTGCAGTTCATAGCCCATGCCTACCCTAGGTTGCCACCAGGGGCTTAAGAGCAATTGAACATTGAGAAAACATCCTAGCCCAGTCCAGATCAAGTCCATAAGTCTGATAGTAGCCCATATGTCTGATACCAATCTATAAATTCTTCAGACTCAGGCAACAAATGCAGGAAGATCACAGGCCAGTGGGCGGGAAGTCTTGTGGATCCAGTGGCGGTGGAAGCATCTCAGCGCTGGGGTGGGTCTCCACTCTGCTCCTCCAGGGAGCTCCAGGGCTCTAGCGTAGCTGCACGTGTCTTGTCAACGGCAATGTCGCACAGGGAGGATCTGCATCTGGCCTCCAGTGAGCTACTTATCGCCTTCCTGCCTCCAAATGAGGTCCTCAAGCTGTGACCAGATTGACAGGCTAGACCACACCCACTCACTCCCAATAGCCTCAAGTTGCCACCAGATTCTGCACCTGCCACACAGCCCCACGGCCACTGAGGCAGAGCCCAGTGGCATCAGGGAGGACTCCCTGGTGGAGGTGGCGATGTTGCAGTCACTCAGTGAGGCACACAGGGAATGAGACCAGCACCCGGAACCTAGCATCTGGTTCTAGAACTGGAGACTGTCACCCAGCATCTACCGCACTGTCTGGGCAAGGCAAACTCGGAGGCCTCCTTGAACCATCTGGAAACAAGCGTCACTTTCTCAAAGGGTGGCAGTGAGGTTGACATTTTGGTGTTTTGTTTGCTTTAAATAGGCACTGTGGGGACAGTCAACTGTGTGGATCATAACAAGCTATGTATCGCGCTGAATGGGAATTCCAGAACACTCCTCCATCGTGCCCACGAGGAACCTGTACATGGGTCCAGAGGCAGTTGTGCGTAAGAAGAAGGGCACACTGCACAGTTGAAAATCAGGAAAGGGGGGTGTCAGGGTTGTACCCCCTCCTCGTGCCTAGTTGCCCTGTGTGCTGAGCAGATCACCCGAGAAGCTGGCTTACCCGGAGCAGAATGTGGCATCCGGTTGGAGGAGGGCTTATTAACAGCCTGCTGTATGCAAGGGACACGAAGCCCTTGCTGATGGGACTGAGGGCTGCACCCTTCGGGAGGGATAACCCCTCAATGGAAAGAACACCCAACCCTCACACTGGACCAGTAAGTAGCACCATGATGGATGGAGAGAAGGTTGAAGTCGTCAAGGATTCTGTCCTGCTTGGACCCACAATCATGCTCATGGAAGCAGCGGCCAAGAGATCAAAAGACACGTTGCAGGGTACCACGGTGCCCCTTCACCAGCCTGGGCCATCGATCTCTCCCCCTGGACTCTGTAACAAGCAGGGTCGGTTTTGGGTTTTTTTTAAATCATTTTATTAGGGGCTCACACAACTCTCATCACAATCCATACATACATAACTGTAAAGCACATTTGTACATTCATTGCCCTCATCATTCTCAAAACATTTCTTCTCCACCCAAGCCCCCGGTATTAGGTCCTCATTTTTCCCCTCCCTCCCCCTCCCTCGTGAGACCTTGATAATTTATAAATTATTATTTTATCATATCTAGCCCTGTCTAATGTCTCCCTTCACCCACTTTTCTGTTGTCCATCCCCCAGGGAGGGGGCCACATATAGTTCCTTGTAATCGGTTCCCTCTTTCCAACCCAC